GAGTTGTGTGCCACAGGATATGCATAATCATATAATTATATGTACAAGTATTTATTTATATTATATACATACATATATTATGATTATATAATATCATACATAGAAATAGGAAAGAGAAATACCACGCCCTGCAGAGCGAACCAAGGTGGGCACTAAGGCGGCCGAGATGAGTCCAAGAGGGTTCGAGAATAATTCAGAATAACAGATGGGAAGCGGCTCGAGGGTGTGCTTCTGGCGGCCTCTAGAGCTTATAGTGTCCACGCTGATACACTGATAGGGCGCACTGGGGGCCCACCAGAGTTCCGTTCGTGTCCTCCCGAGACATCCAGGGCTGCCCAGGACGCGTTGCTTCGTCGCCCCCCCCGTAGCCGTTTTGGCTCAGTCATTGGACCTCCCTTTCGCTTGCGACCCGCAAACCCACGAGTGGGGTCGACTGCCCCGTTAGGGGTAGCTCCCGCAGCTGGCTCGTCGACAGGCGTCGACCATGCCCGGCAGCGTGGCATCCTCCAGAGGTTCGGCATCCAAGAGATCGGCCAAGTCCGCCGAGACTTCTTTGGTCGAGAAGGGCCCCGTCATGAGGGGCGGCACGATGTTCATGAAGATCCGTCGTTGCCGAGGTTGCGGCTTGTGCAACTGCGACCTGAATCCCCTCAAGGATTCCCCGGGCTGGTTCGGCACGTTCACGTTCCTGGTTTGGAAGGCGGGGGACTCCCTGAATCCAGTGGGCGATTTGTGCAAGATCTGCTATCTGGTTTTTTTGCTGGGTCAGTTTGCCATCCAGTACGGCGGCGACTTCGACGAGTTCTGTCACGCGCGGAAGGAGGATGAGGAGCTCCAGCTGGAATGGAACGCTGCGTACAAGAAGTTCGGCGAGGAGGCGGACAACTACCCCATGCGATTGGGCGATCGTTGGAAGGCTCGATCGGGGTTCAATGTTGTATCGCCAGTTCAAGGCGCGCTCGCCCCGCACGCCCAGGGTGCCGCCCTTCTGTCAGGGGAGATCGGGCGGGACCGGTGGGCAGGGCGGCGGTGAGCGCGTCTATCGCTGACGGTGCATTGAACGCCCGTCTCGCGAGGAGCTGCTGGAAGGGAAACTGGTAGACGTCCGCAAGACGGCAGTCCAAACGTACAAGAAGAGCCAGAAGAAGATCACAACTCCATATCGCTTGGTGGCGGCAGATAGTTACGAGAAAAAACATCCCGGGCGCATCGCGAGGAAGGGGCTCACAGTGAAGCCCATGGTGGTTGACGGCAAAAAGCGGGACTGCGTGTTCATTCGCAGGCTGCCCAAAGACCAGTGGGATCTTGATATCGAGGACATCGCTGGCGTGGAGCAGTCTGAGCTGTTGAATTCGGGCGAGTCTGATTTGCGGAGGGGCCAGGGCTCCATTGTTTTCAGCGGCATGGCAGCCAAGACGAGGTTGAACCAGAAGGACGCAGAGAACGCAGCGAGTGACTCCGGAGGCGAGTCCGAGTCGGAGGCGGAGGAGGGGGATGGCAGCTCCTCTCGGTCGGGCAGCGACAGCGGGGACGATAAGGAGGACGATGACATGAGCGCCCTCGCGATCTCTTTCTTGGACGATGACGACAGGCCGAAGAAGGGCACGGCGAAGGCGTCGGCGTCTTGCGGCAATTCCGGAGCCAAGGCGGAGAAGGCCGCCAAGGAAGCGAAGACCACCGACAAGGGGAAGAAATCCAAGACGGAGAAGGCCACGAAGACCCCCGCCAAGCGCGCCCAGACAGAGATCTCCGATAGTGGGTCTGCTTCGAAGCGCTCGAAGGACACCGGCGGCACGGCGGCCGATCAGCAGCGGGAGGAGGAGCAGGAGAAGGAGGCTGAGAAAGCGCGCAAGAAGTTCGCGGGGAAGACGGCGGAGCAGATTCTGGAGCCTCATGGGTGGTCCACGCTCACGGCGAACTACAGTAAGCTCGAGAAGAAGATGGACTCTCACCCTTTCACTTCCACTCTCGCGGGGAACGAATACAAGGAGTACAAGGACTCGATCGTGGAGTTCAAGAAGGCAGCGTCCGATCACCAGAGGATCGTGGTCTCCCTGGACATTAAAACGAAGAAGTGGGTGGGCCGCCCGCAGTCGGTCGACGACACCGTAGGGGGCATGCGCACCAAGTCGAAGGCTTCGGATCTCAATGTGGGGCCGTGGGGCACTGTAGGTCGGGCTTCCCCCTCATTGGCCACCTCCCTCGCACTCTCTTTCCCCGCCCTCCTGCGCTGCCCTCCCCCGCTGGGCAGCGTTATCTCGGATCTCGAAGGCCAGGGCCAGGCGCCGACCCTGTTTTGTTTACATGGCTGCTTTCGAGCCGAAATCTTGATGATAGCTGAGACGTTGGAAGCTCGTCGTTCAGTGCCCCCCCCCACCTTGATCCCGCCGAGGCCATCGTTGACGCCAGTGGCGCATTCGAGCTGAAGAGGAACGACGCGATGAAGATGGAGACCACCATCATCGCGCTGCGGAACGCCAGCCCGGCGGTGCCCAATGCCTACCACGTGTTGTTCTTTAGGGAGCGTGCCGCTGATCATATTCGTTTCAACAGGTTCGACGATTTCATGTGCTTCATCTCCCGCCATGAGAACGGCTATTGGACATTGAACTCTTTCACTGGCCTGAGCGAGGATGACGCCAAAGCCCGCATGGAGGAGCTCGTGCAAGAGGCCATTGAGGGAGCACTCGAATCCGTCTGCAAGCTGTGCTCCCGGGCGGAGGGGGGCCCCAGCCATCAGGTGTTGGGGGAGTTCTCGAACCAGCTGGTGGAGGCCTGCGACATGAACCAGCTTGCTATCGACCACTCCGCCCAAGCTGACCTCCGCCTGTTGGGCAAAGCTTTCTTCGACCTCGGGTGCACGGACACGTGCGCGAGGGTGGAGCACATCAACAACCTCGTGGAGATGAGAGCGACGCCCTCTGGGATTCTCACCCCTGTTCTTCGGGACACCGATGCCATGAAGTGCCTGGACTTGCGCCTGGCCTCCGCGACCAAGGCAAACAAGCCTCAGGATCGATGGGGGAGCGCCGGGCCAGGGGCCATCGAGGGAGGGCGATGGCGATGGCGGCGGGAGAGTGAGAAGGAGGGGGCGGTGGTCGGAAGGGGTTGGGCCAGGAGGAGGCCAAGGCGTGGTCGGAGGTCTCTCGGGCGTCGTCGAAGCGAGCGAGGCCGATGAAAGCCAGTGTGATATTCGGGATGGGCGGGAGAAGGGGGCGGTGGACGGGGGAGGAGGAGACTTCTGTGTGGGTAGTGGGTGGAGGTGGGAGGATGAGGAGCGAGGAGCGAGGGCGAGGTTTGGGGGGGAAAGTTTGGCGTTTCCTTTCCCGCAGGGCTGCCTCTCGCTGCTGGAGGGCCACCTTGCAAAGATGAGCAAGCCCGTCTACACGCGTGCTGACAAGGATGCCTTCGACGCAGACCTGTGCGCGATGCTGAGGACTGGCGGCGCGAACCCGACGGACAAGGCCTTCTTCGACAGGGCAAAGGCCATCGTGAACGCTCTGGTCCTGAAGAGCGACGCTGGCCACGGCGCGATCCTGATGCAGTTGGCGAGGGGCGCGAGCGAGGTGGCGGCGCAGATTGATGGAGCTGCCCCCCTGGACGTGGCGGCGAAGCTCAAGGGTGTCATTACTGAAATCACCGACCTCACTATCAGGCACCACCTCGACTACCGTGCCATCGCCCACAAGGTGGCCCTCGAGTACACGGGCCAAGCCCTCATCGACTTGCTGGCGCGATTCACGGACCCCGTGGAGCTCGAGCGCAGGAGTGAGCAGTTCGCGATCTCCATGGCGATGGCCGAGGTCTTGGAGTCCACGTCCAGGGCGCTCGCGCACTACAAAGCGGACGCTGGCAAATACCTTCAGCAGGTCATCAAAGAGGTTGGCAGCCTCACCAGCCTCGCCAGTACGATCGGCGATGAATCAATTGTGCAGGCTGTCAGGAAAGTCGAGCAGACTTGCGGCATTCAGCAGTCGGGTGCCGCGGTGTACGAGGAGACGCTGAAGACATTCAAGTCGCAGTTCGCATCTTTAGTGGATTCGGCGATCGCATACTCAGAGGCGACCGGCGCGGATAACACCGAGGAGGAGGACAGGAACTACGCAGACACAATCAACGCGTGGACCGAGGGGATCCACCAGCTCAAGCAACTGGCGACCTGGTCGTCGACGACGGAGCACGACCGCAAGATCCTTGAGTGGTGCGAATCGGGCTTCATGTTCTTGCGATACTCTGCCCTCGCCCCGGCCTCCAGGGATCGCGTCGAGCAGGAGTTCACGCAGATCGAGGCGAAGTGCATTCGAGCGATGGAGAAGATCATCACCGATGTAGAAGAGACGAGGCCCTCGTTGCACTGGCTCCTTGGCGACAGTTCCAAGTGCGACCAACTCGTGGAGCTTGCCCGGAAGATCTTCGACGTGGTTGACCCTCAGAAGCAGCTTATCTTGCAGAAGGCGAGTGCTAAACTCACCGAAGACATGGATAAGCTGTCCGCTATGCTACTCGTACCCGAAGGTGAAGAGCAGCCCGGCGAGGCGGCTATCCGGGCGCACTACACGGCGGCCAAGGTCGAGAAGGTGAAAGCGCAGAGATGCTTCACGAGCCATTCGTACGACAAGTTCAAGGAGCTGCACGCCACGCACGGGGTGTCCATGCCTGGGACGCTGGAGCAAGATGCGGCTAAGCTCTTGGGAAACGCCCGCCTCCAGAGCGTCAAGTACGGCCTGATCGCGCTGGCGCGGCACCCTGAGGCAGTCGCGGACAGCAAGGTCGGCCAGCAGGTCCGCACCAACCTCTTCAGCGTCTGGAACAAGCACAAGGACACCGAGGATACGTTGGACTACCTCGGCCCTGATTTGGTGGACGTAGTGGAGGAGACTCTCGCCTACAAGCCCTCAGAGGGACCAAAGCAGGCGCTGCCGGACAACAAGCCGAAGAAGCGCCCGCTGAAGGGCAAAGCTGACGCGGCACCTGATGCCTCCGACCCGCCGCCGCCGAAGGCCCCCAGGGCGTCGCGCGGCGGCAGGAAGCGCTCAGGAGCCTAAGTCGCGTCCTGGGTCTGGTCGGGCGCGTTTCGGGATGGCCCGGAGGTCGGGCCTCTCGAGTAGCGGGGGGGGGAGTTCGATCGCGCCGCGGCGCGAGCCTGGCCGCGCCCGCCGAGCGTTTTCGGGGCGCCTGCAGGAGCGCCGCCTGAGCAATGGGGAGGTTGGGAGGGGCCGCGACGTATACTCCTCCTCCTCCTCCTCCTCCTCCTCCTCCTCCTCCTCCTCCTCCTCCTCTCCCTCCTCCTCCTCCTCCTCCTCCTCCTCCTTCTTCTCATCCTCCCTTTCTTTCTTTCCCCATTTCCCCCTTTTCCCCGACCTGCCCCCCCCCTTCCTCGCTCCAGTCGGGAAGCGCGGAGGGCGTGGGGCTCAGGCGTCGCGCGAGCAGGCCGGCGCTCGGTGAATTTCATTGGCCAGGCTGCGCCGCCAGCGCGGCCCCGCGCGCCAGCGGCGCTGGCAACGGCGCGGCGCAGAGCCCCGCCTCGTCGCCGAGTGCGCTGGTGATGTTTTGGCCCCTCGTGGCCTGGGGGCCCAGTTGAGATTGAAAAAAAAGTTATGAGGCCTTCGTCGTCATCCTCCCTCCACCGCAGCGCCCGGGGGCGGCGCGCCTCGTGGCGGCCACCGCGCCGTCGAGCGAGCCCTCGTGCTCGGGCGCCTGGGCGTTCGGCGGAGCGGCCGGGATGCAGATCGCGGGCGGCCTTTCGGCGTTGTCCAGGAAGGATGATGAGAGGATCAGGAACGTAGGATGAGGGCCTGATGAGGAGGTTGCGGCATAATACGGATAGGATGAGGGTAGGATGCGGGGGGTAGGATGAGGAGGATTGCGGAGGAGGTGGAGGAAAAGGAGGGTGGCGGTGTCGGCATTCTGACAGTCCCCCTTCCCCCATCCTGGCCCATCCTTCTCCTTTCCTCTCTCCTTCACCCTCTCCTTCTCCTCCTGGTTTAGTGTCCCTCTCGGCGCTCCTTTCGCTTTCCCTTCTGCCCCTTCCATCCTCGCCTCGACGTTTTCCCTCGCATCCCAATCCCTCCCGCCCCTTGCGAATGCTGCGCTCTCGGGCCCATGATCCCGCCCCCCTGCCAGCTGATTGTTTGTCTTCTTATTATTTTTCATCTTTTTGTCGCTCTCTCTCTCTCTCTCTCTCTCTCTCTCTCTCTCTCTCTCTCTCTCTCTCTCTCTCTCTCTCTCTCTCTCTCTCTCTCCTCTCTCTCTCTCGCTCTCTCTCTCTCTCTCTCTCTCTCTCTCTCTCTCTCTCTCTCTCTCTCTCTCTCTCTCTCTCTCTCTCTCTCTCTCTCTCTCTCTCTCTCTCTCTCTCTCTCTCTCTCTCTCTCCTCTCTCTCTCTGTTTGGCTCGCGCATCTTCCTGTCTCTGGTTTCGGGCGGGCAGGCTCGACCGAGGGGCCGCAGAACATTCTCAAGGACTTCGTCTACAAGATCATCAGGGAGCTGCCCCCAGCGCAGTACACCAACCTCTCCCGCCACATCAAGGAGAGTAACATCAAGATGAGCTCGGCATGCTCCGGCTCGGCCGTGGCGGAGTGCGCCCACTACTACATCCACTGCTACTTCGGCGAGCCAGCCAGCGTTGCCTTCACGTGCGAGAAGGAAGGCAGGAAGAGGGCCTTCGTTGACCGCGTTGTGAGCCCGAAGATGCGCGACGGAGGCGGGTGCAACTTCGTGGATATGAACGACTTGCACAAGAGGGTGGCGAAGTGCAGCAAGCACGATGGCCAGTGCGCCGTCGCCGAGCGCACGCCCCTCCATGTCATCGGCTTCAGCTGCAAGGATTTGTCCCGCTTGTCCACCCGCTTCAAGACTGGCAAGGAGAAGGCCGATGTGCTCCGCCAGCAGCTCGGCACGAGCGGCAAGACGTTCGCCGCCCTGATTGCCTACATCGACGCGGCGCTCCCGAAAGTGATCCTGATGGAGAACGTCGACGAGATGGAAAAGGACACCCCAAACACGGAATGGTTGTACAAATGCTTCTTGACCCGAGGCTACGAGATCAGCCAGTTCACCGCCGACTCCAGGGACTACGGCGTGCCGCATCGGCGCAAGAGGGTGTTCTTCATCGCGTTCCACCTGGACACCTTCGGCCTCGGCGCAGAGGAAGCCCGCGCCATCTCCGGGAACGTCGCCGACATGGTCCACGGCTTCAGGGTGCAGTCAGAGAAACCTTGGACTGCAACTCAGGATCTCGCGCGGATCGTCGACCAGATGGACTCTCCTTTTGATCGCAATGGTTTTGATCCGTTGGCGCTGCCCTTGGAGGCTTTCCTCTTGAGCCGGGATCACCCTCTCGTGAAGGACCAGCTCGCGAAATCCTTCAGGAAGGCCCAGGACAAGGCGGAGTCGTCGGCGTCGGCATCGGCGGCAGGGGCTCGCGAGAAGGAGCCGGACTGGGTCAAGCTGCACTCGAACCTGTTCAGGGACAAGGGCATTTCGTGGAAGGACGTTGGTGGCCGACGGGGCCCCTTTCTCTGATGCCGCTATGCGGCATGCGCGTCGCCTTCTCTTGTCCTTATGGTCCTTACCCTTCCCCTCTCTCTCTCTCTCTCTCTCTCTCTCTCTCTCTCTCTCTCCCTCCCTCCCTCCCTCCCTCCCTCCCTCCCTCCTCCCCCTTCTCTCTCTCTCTCTCTCTCTCTCTCTCTTTTTGTTCTCTCTCTCTCTCTCTTTCGCTCTCTCTCCTCTCTCTCTCTCTCTCTCTCTCTCTCTCTCTCTCTCTCTCCCTCTCTCTCTCTCTCTTTTTTCTCTCTCTCTGTCTCTCTCTCTCTCTCTCTCTCTCTCTCTCTTTCTCTTTCTCTCTCAGTCTCTCTCTCTCTCTCTCTCTCTCTCTCTCTCTCTCTCTCTCTCCCTTTCCCTCTCCCCTTCCCTCTCCATCCCCCTCTCCCTTTCCTTCTCCCTCTCTCTGTCTCTCCGCATCCCGCATCCCTCTCGATCTCCCTCCCCCCCCCTCTGCCTCTTCCTCCCTCCCTGTCCTTCTCTCTTCGTCTTCTCCCTCTCCGTCGCCCTCTCCCTCTCCCCCCCCGGCCCCCCTCTATCTACCCCCGCCCCCCGCCCTCGTCATTGCCTTCGCCTTCTCCCGCCCTCGAGTTCGAGCTGGAGCTCGAGCCTCGCCCCATCCCCTGCCGCCGCTCCCAGGACATGGAGCCGTCCGATGCGCTGCAGGAGAATCCCCACTACAAGGCCAGGCCCTGGGCGGTGCGAGGATGGAGCGCGGAGGGGAAGGGGATGGAGGAGGTGGAGGAGGCGGAGGAGGATGAGGAGGTGGAGGAGGAGGTGGAGGAGGATGAGGAAAAAGAGAAGCAGGAGGAGGGGGATGAGGCTGAGGAGGTGGAAGCGGCGGAGGAGGATGAGGAGCGATGAGGATGTCAGGGTGGGCCGGGGGATGGCCGTGGCCAACCGCTCCCGCTAGGCGCTCTGTCGGAGGGCGCAGGAGACTCTGGTCTATAACATGAAGTTCAATATCCCATCGCCATCGGATAAGGAGGTGTCCACTATCGACATTTCCCAGGGGATCCTCCGCACTGGCAAGGGGTACGACCACTTTTGCCAGACGCTCACGCCCAAGGCGGAGACTTGGGTGCTGTCCGCGAACCGCATGCTCCTGGGCATCGAAGCCATGGCCCTTCAAGCGTTCCCGGTGATTCGGGTTGAGGAGGTTGAGCCCATCATCGGCCTGGCGGGTGCCAGGCCGATGAGGGGCTGAACCCGAGCTGGGCCCAGCGGAGGGCCCACTGCTTGTTCAGCCGCGCAGCGTGCTGCGAGGAGGAGGGGGGGGAGGAGATAGGGGAGACGCAGGAGGAGGAGGAGGGGGAGGATAAGGAAGTGTTGAGGCAGCTGGAATGGTGATCTAGATTGCCGCCCCGCCGTCGCTTACTTTTCAGGGAATGGGCGAGGGGGTAGGGGAGGTAGCAGGGGGTCAAGAGGATGACGCCGAGGAGGAGGTGGAGGAGGAGGACGGAGGAAGTGGCCGAGGAGGAAGAGGAGGAGGAGGAGGAGGAGGAGGAGGAGGAGGAGGAGGAGGAGGAGGAGGAGGAGGAGGAGGAGGAGGAGGCGCGCCAACATCGATCCCGCCCCCAGGTGACCTGGTGCTGGGGCCTTCCAGGGGCGCGCCCGTGCATCGAGGACGCAAGCGACGTCCACAACCCCATGACGGATCGCGCTCTGACGGACTTGGCGGGCAACATGTTCACGGGCACGATCATCGCCGCCGCCTACGTCGCCACTTGGAGCAACCTCCCGGCGCCGATCAAGCTCCCGCGTGACGAGGACCGAGCGAGAGGGGAATGCGGCGCCCTCCCGTCATCCTCCGTGGGTCCCTCCCCCTCCTCCTCCTCCTCCTCCTCCTCCTCCTCCTCCTCCTCCTCCTCCTCCTCCTCCCCGTCCTCCTCCTCCTCTTCTTCCTCTTCCTCCTCCTCCCCCCTCCACAGGCCACCGCCCCCTCTCGCCCCATCTGTTCCTCACTCGCCCCGCCGTCGCCACGGCGCGCGATCGCCAGGACCCCGCCTCCGTGGAGGCGCTGGCGCGCATCTTCGACTGATCGGCCGAGCGTGCGAGCTCGGGGGGGGGGGGCGGCGGCGTGGGAGCGGGGGGTCGAGGACGAGGAGAAGAAGAAGAGGAGGAGAGGAGAGGAGGAGGAGAAGAAGAAGAGGAGAAAACCAGCGAGGCCCGCCTGTCTTTCGCACGCGGGCCGCCAGGGGGCGGCTCGGGGAGAAGGTCGCTCCGAGGAGCGCGGCGCTGAGCCGAAACGAGCGGCCGGCTGGCCGGCGGCGCGGGGGGCGTAGTCGTCGTCGTCGTCGGTCGTCGGTCGTCCGCGTCGTCGTCGTCGATGTCGTCGTCGTCGGCGTCGTCGCCCTCGGCCTCCGCCCTTCCCCAGCCCCGCGGGCGCGGGCGTGGGGGTGGGGCGGGTGGGTTTGGGAAGTCTTCTAAACTTCTAGACTAGAGGAAGGGGGGGGAAG